CGGGACCATTGAACCATTAAACCTTGAACTCTGTAACAAGACATCCCTAGAAGGAATGACCTTGTCAATGCCAACGCTCTGTGCCCTGCAAGTAATCGCGGGAGGTTGCTTCGGACATCGCATCCCAAGCTAGAGACCCAAAAAGTAAACCCGAGCCCCAGATTCGTAAAGTAACAAAGCTGAACCAGCCACCGTCCCCAGTTGGTCCATGCTCCAGCGAAGCAGAAGAAAACCAAAAGCTTCCGCGACTGCCTTGACATTGCCCGGGGCTTACATTCGTTTTGGATTTTCTGACCCTTCATATTCCCCATGCAGATCCATTGAGGGCCCTATGACAAGGTGTAGATGCTATACTGGAAGCTTGAGTCCCAAACCCAGGCAGAGCTTTCGAATGTGGGTGGCAAGGTCACTGCGCAACTGATACAATCCTTCTCTGTAGTAGTACTGTCAGCTACAGTTGCTGGTCAGGCTTTAGCTGAGTTACCCGTACAAGCACTTATAAAGGCGCGAGGCACAGAATGGACGAACAACATGTTTTGCGTCAGAAGAGGTCTTACGAGTTGGCACGTCGGATTCCAGGTAGCGTGCTTTTAACCTCAATATGATAAAACACTTTCCCGAAAACATCCGAAAACTGTAGCACTATAGCTTCATAGCCAGGAAACGATGACACACACCCGCACCATGCTCAGTGGCCCAATCAGGAAGTGCAAGAAGTACATCGTGTGAAAGTTTAAGATACTCGTCATTATCACCAGCATCATAATCATCATCATCATCATCATCAGCAGCCTTATGCTTGCAATCCCTGCGTCTCCTGCTTCTAGCACAGCTGTTTGCATGATTTGTGAGGAAAGGTGCGCTCAGGCGAGTGGCCCCTCCTGGTCAAAGCACTATCCGGGGCGCATCCATAGCGTTTGCTTTAGGACATCTCTTCAGACTATCCTGCTTAGTAGTTATCTAAGCCTTAAACCCACCATCAAGTCGATCAGAGACAAATGGCAAGGTCAACATGTTTGAGAACTCTGAGATGCCAGCGGAGCTTCATACCGGCCTCTTGCTGAGAATACCGGACAGCCTGGTCTTTCATGCGCTTAAGCTGAATGTGTATCTGGTTTGAGACGAGACACCGCGCACCAAGCGGGTTGTGGCAGCTGTATCGTGCAACCATGATTCAATGCAGAAGTAGCTCGTCCCCTGTTGTACTTCCTTATTATGCCAGAGACTTACCCTAAGGGTCCAAGTACATAATAATCATGTATTTACCCAAAACCTGTACTATAATGACTATTACCCAAAACCCAAGTACCTAATTATTGGGTACATGGACCCTCTGGGGTACATCTTCGTCTTTTTTGTCGGAACCCTTCATTCGGGCCGCTTGGATGCTGCGCAGAGCGATGTTTCGGGGAGTAGGGTCTCAACCGCGTACCTTCGACCCTACACCATAACTACACGCTTATAGGTCTGCATTGAAGTGGAAGGCATTTCAGCTGAGCTTAGCCCCAAATGCCAGTCTTCTCCACCGGAAGAGCTTCAACATAATTTGTAGACCTTCCCAATTGCAGAAGCAGTTTTTCAAGGCGTGCAGACGGGCTGGGACAGCGTGGATGAACTCTACCGGCCGGTGCGTGGGGAGGTTACCGTTGCCCCTGAACCGCAATACATAGCGCGGTGTAGAGACCTCATTTTGATGGTCAGGACTGCAGCCTGTCTCGGTTCTGCTGTCAGGTGTAGGTTTGAGCATCTCCTTTTAGTTGTAATTGCCCTTAATTCCTGTAATTCTGCTTACTATACAGCCATCAAAAACCTGATTTTTGTAGAGCCCCCAAGCCTACCCTGGCTGTGGGGATCGTGAAAAAATCCCAGGCAGCCTCCTGGAATTATTCAGGATAGCGGAATCGGGCTTCGCATTCAGGATTGGGCGCCTGAGATTTTGATCCACTCCGGTGTCTCTCCGATCATTTGGGTAAGCTTTGGATATGTGTTGAAAATGCCGAGCAAAGCTGTTAAACAACCAGGCGCACATCATGGAGCCTTGTTATCAAAGAAATTTAGTTGTTGGACGGCCGCCTTGACCAGGAATTTGGGTTCGGGTTCCAAAGTCAAGCAGTTCACGGTGTTATTGCTGCGCATGGTTCATTCCCAGTACGTTCTCCGTACAAAAAGCTCTGGAAGGTATGAAAGAACCTTACTGAAACCATAGTATGTATAAAGGAGGACCAAGTTGCACGGGGCTTGTGGTAGAGTTTTGTGGCAGGGGCGGTTGGCCAGGTCATTGGGTTTGCACTTGCAATCCTCCGCCATCCGACAGCGTTCCTCCGCCGGCTGCGGTATTTCAGCCCTAATCTCGGTCCCCTTAGTATAAACGCCTCTTCCAGACCAGTTTATTGGCGACTGAGATGTCGTTGGGAGGGTCTAGAAGTGGAGTTTTGAGGGGACCAAGATGTCGGGGGGAGGGTCTAGAAGAGGAGTTTAAATGAGGACCGAGTTGTCGACGAGAGGGTCTAGAGGAGGAGTATCAATGAAGATTTATTCAAGGGGGGCCGAAATGCTGGCGGGATGGACTAGAAGAGGAGTTTAAAGGGGGATGTTGGCGGGAGGGTCTAGAAGAGGAGCACTGACATGAGAGGGACCGAGATGTCGGTGAGAGGTTTAAAGGGGGACCGAGATGTTGGCGAGAGAGCCTCTGCTACACCCTCCCACCAACATCTCGGTTCGCCTTTAAACTCCTCTTCTAGACCCTCCCCCCGCCCTCGACATCTCGCTTGCCCCTTTACACTCCTCTGCTAGATTCTTCTGCCGTCATGTCAGTCTGCCTTGAAACTCCTCTTCTAGACCCTCCCGCGTATTTCGCCCCAGATTCTCCGCTTTTACGGTTAGACCAGTTACCCTACAAATTCTCCGCTTTTACGGTTAGACTATTTCGCCCTAATGCTCGGCTTTGATGGTTAGACTCTTTCGACCTAGCCCTTGAAGTTCTCCGCTTTGACGGTTAGACTCTTCCGCCCTAGCCCTTCAAGTTCTCCGCTTTTACGGCTAGACTCTTTCGCCCTGTTACCCTTCAAATTCTCCGCTGTTGCGGTTAGACTATTTCGCCCTACTACCCTCGCTTTTGCAGTTAGACCATTTTGCCCTAATACAGTTCAAAGTCTTTGCTTGTGCGGTTCGACTATTTTGCCCTAACTAATACCTTTCAGATTCTCCGCAATTTTCACTTAGACTCTTTTGCCCTAATACGCTTCAAATTCTCCGCCCTTGCTCTTCCCACTCTCAGCTTTCACAGATTTAAAAGTTTGGGCTTGCGATGTCCAGGGTTTGCTCCCTAGAGTTCCTTGCAACCCCCAAACCCCCAACGCTAAACCCTTCTTACTGCCCCTTCTTTATCGCCTTCTTCTATTCTCTGCTTAGGTTCTAGTAAAGCTACACATGTGGGGTTGTCCGGTCCATTTAATATTGTTTCAACTTCTTCAAGTTTGGCGCTTGTTATCTCATCTGAAGTCTGTATATGCCCCACCAAGCGGCGTTGACTGAGCCTCGCCCAGACATGAAGGTTTTGCTCACGTAGGGGCCCGTGCAAACCCCAAAGAAACACGGGAAATGGGTCCTTATCAGGGATTATGTCAGTGTGACTTTTAGAAACGTTCACATGTAACACAGTTAAACCCCACTGCAGTTGGCAAGCATGCCTATGGAAATGAAAGCCCTCGCAGCCCACACGCTTCACCCTGGGACCCCAAACTCCTATGCCTATAGATCAAAGGGCCGCAAGGGTCCCCTATATTCCCTTCAAAAGGAACCCCACACCCCATCGTTCAACCTTGAGGATCCATTCCAAAACCCTTGAAATAGACAGTTTATCTAGATGATTTCCCAAGTCCTACTCCAGTTGTCTCCGGCCTCACTGCGTTTTCGGTGCCCACCCTGCTTCGATCCCAGCTATAATCTTGCAGCAGTTAGAATTACAGTAGCTATTCCTTCCAGAATCACAACACAACAGATAATCGCAAAGGAAGAGCACGTTGTGTGAAAAAAGGAAGAAGTCGAAAGGAATTGAGCATGTTAGGCGACCGTCTCAAACTTATCTCTAAACTCTGACTCCTAGACTCAGAGCCAGCTGGCCAGGTAACCGGAACTCCTGGCAGCGGCAAGTCGGAGTTCCTTCTCTCCTTGGCTCTAAACTTGGCCATGAAGCACGACTGGAGGCAAGGATTTGATTATGGGTTCAGAGGTATCAGCACTACTTAACCTCTATTTGATTTAAATTACGGGATGAAGGAATGAATCCTTAAAGTGGTTCCTATACAACACCCGAGAATCTAGCAGTTTCTGTTCCATTTCTTCATTCCCTCTTCCAGGCTCGGAGTCTTGAGCATTTGGTTATCGTTGGAGTCCGGGCTGTAATCTAAGGACTTTTGGAGGGACGCCTAGTAGGGACCCTTGTAGCTTTTGGGGCTTCATATGGGGGCTACCTAGGGATATAGGGGTTATACCGGGGTTATATAATGGCGTATATATGATAATAGGATTAAGGGTCCCTATTAGGGGTCCCTCCTAAAGTCTCTAGATGTAAGGTGTGGACAGGGTTGCTGGTCAATGAAGCCAGAAGTCCTGTCACCCCGCACATGGACCCCTCAACTGTGTGCGAGCCCAGATGCAAAAGGGCAGCGCATGGGACGGCCCTTGGATTTCAGTGTAGAAGGATGGACCCTAATACGATCATCCTTGTTATGGGGAGCCCAAGAAAGGTAACCTCGCAGTAGTTTTGGGGAACCCCATATAGACTTCAAGCAACTGCTGACATCCTGCAAGCACGCAAAGAGCCGACTTTCTCCAACTGTTGTCTGGCTAGCTGCTAAGGAACTTTAATGAAGTTAATTGCCAGAATAGGAATATGTAGTAAACTGTGGGTTTCCTCAAAACTTTGGTAAGCAAATTAAAGCCCCTGAAAAGCAACCCAGTAGTTCAGGTTTGTGGTGGTGCCCTTTGAACACAAGCAGGAGGACTTGGCAGTTCAACTGATCGAGAAGAAGCAGGAGGCGAACTGAGATGTCTCGGCGTTCATGTAGGGTTTAGGGGTGCAATCATAGCGAATACACAAGTGGAAAAGAACATGGACATCAAATGGAAACCGGATGTTCTCACCAAGATATAGGGATGTGGAGGGTTTAGGGAAAATCATGCTATTATCCCCATCAATGGAGCAACACATGGAACATGCAAGATGAGATGGGATGGTCTTGGGGTCCAGGCGTTGCACGGATGGTTCTCCCTGCGAGCTTTTCTCGATCCTTTCGTTCTCACTCCGATTGCAGGATTCGTTTCTGTGCCTGCACATGGCCATCATGTGCAAAGTCTGATCTAGCCCGAAATTCTTCAGCCCTGGAACCCACGGTGCAAGCAATGCGTAGACCACCGTAGACCGCAGGCACATGACGGAATTCCCAAATCCCTCTGATCCCCTCAACACCACTGGCTAAAATCGTGAATCACATAGTGTAGACTTCAACATGGTTCACACATTGCATACTTTTTCTTGGCTTAACCCGTCTGCACTAAATCTTTGAAGGAATTCAATCTGGGTTGGCAAGCCCGAACCCTATACCCCCTTCAACATTTCCCTAGCATTCCTAGAAGATGGCCATGTCCGCTGCCTGCCATCTACACTACTACGACTTCCCGACTTCCCATCCTAATTAGAGGTCCTAGAGGAATCATAGGCATGCCCTTGATGTGTGATGGTACTACAATGAAACATTATCTCCAAGGGTGTTGTATTCCTTAGTGGGCAAATCTTACAGAACCGGGGTGGAAGCTTTTTATTGCCCAAGCCCTAAGCCCTAAACCCTTCAGGTGCCACATTCGAATCTCCAAGACCAGCAGAAGAGCGGACACTTCGACTTGGAGTCGGATGTAGCATTCCTCGCACCGTGGCTTCAGGGTTTTAGCTTCATAAGCCTTAAGGCTTACAAGGCTGAGGGCTTTAGAGCTCAAAGGAGCTGAGTACAGGGTTTAGTGGCGTAGGAGTGAGGCTCTCGGCCTTGGATTTCGGACGTGAGCAGGCATTGAGGTTAAGTAGCAATCTTCCAGGATGTCCCGGGAAAGAACTGGGGCTAGGCCCCAAATACTATAACGTGAATGGTATTTGGGCTCTCAAACCCTATTCTTTGGGTCCTTAGAGGGATAAGATGTTGCCATGTTCATTGTGCAGGCATGTGGGCTAGGTTTTTGAGATTCCTGGCCCCTCAGTGTGTGAAATGCATGGGGTATGCACAGGCCAGTTGCAGCATATTATGGTAGAGTATAATGTATTATAGTATTAGTATATTATAACATATTATTGTATACCATAGTATATTCTGGTACATTATTTTATGATATATTACGGTATATGAGGATTCGGACAGGCTGGAACTTCCAGCATCACGCCCCGCCAGTGGGCTGAAACTTACTTACCCCTTGATTCAAAAGATGCAGGAGGTTGTGGCCGGTGAAGGCTAAGCCCTGGGGTTGTTTAAGGATTCAGTAATCTGATCTTTGGAATACAGGTTGGCAGCGTTGGGCCTAGGGCCTACCATGTGGATCAGGACTATGCTGTGGGGTTTGGACTAACCCAGGACCTCTTTCGTTCCTGCGTTCAGGTCTTAGTTGTTGGGGTGAGGTGTTGAGACAGAGGCAGGACATGCCAAAGCTGTAGCCAGAATACACGTTGTGTGACAAATCATGCCACGCAAGTCACTGGCATTTTTGTATACTGCCTACCTAGGTTGGGACTGAATGGCTTATGGCGGGGCATGGTTTTGAATCTACCCTAAAATGCTCTTTTAGCCAATGTGCTTGAGGACGACCACTTGCAGCGAGTGGGTTCCTACTCGGAGGACGATTTTAGTTGTTTGTGACTCAGGGTTCAGGGTTCAGGCTGTACAGGCTTTAGGGTTCAGGTTCAGGGATTCTGAACATGAAAGAAAGTCATGCGATGTCAGGAGTGTCTCAAAGTTCTGTGTCGCGTTTCGGTGGGGCCCACAGTAAAGTCATTCCTGTGTTGCGGAGTGTGTAGGCCAAGGCGAAGGAGAATTTTGACTACAGCCAGGAGAGTGCCCTTTTGCAAGTATCATCCAAAAACTGTTGGCTTGCTTTTAAGCATCCCTCTTGGCTATATGGGAGTTCCGAAAAACCGGGGGGGGGCCCAAAAGGGGACCCCTCAGTTTTGGAAACCCCATACAGGGTGTCCCTAGCTTTGACATCCTGAGTGTGTGTTTCAGGGCCCACCGACTGGCTTGTCCAGGTCTGTCGAGGATCATGGGCTGGAATCATGTTGACCTGCAAAGTATCAGTGAAAGTAATAGGACATTTGGAAATAGATCCTCAACCCTGAACCATAATTCTTTGCTGCTGGCTTTCTTGGTATTATAGGCTGCCGAAGTGTTTAAGGGCCTTCTGACACTGCACAGCTATAACACATTAATACTACCTAAGTTTGGGTTCCAGGTGCCCGTTACGGCCTTATAGAGGAGTATTTGATAGCGGGGGTGGGGGGTTTTCATGATGGGGGGAGGGGATTAAGTAGATAGGGTTGCAATGTACAGTAGCCAGTGCCGTCAGCCTCAACCGCAAAGGAGCTCTTAATCGTAGGATCCATGCCGTTCTTTTGAGGCCTACTATCAGACCTTGGCATACATCAGCCAGGTGCCTTAATTTCACCCAAGAGAAGTTCAAACAGCACACCTCGGGCAGGATATGGGCCTGGAGGACATTCTGAGCATCGCTGCTTTTCGAGCTCGGGAGACGGGGGGCGGTAAGGGTTTTGGGCGGGGTTTGGCCTTGCGCTTACCGGCTTAGATGGTGGCTTTGGTTACATGTTCAGTTCCCCCGGAACCCGAGGGATATATGTCAATGGGATCACCTCGTAGGATTCGGGAAGGGCCAGGCGAGATTCAGGGGAGACGAAGGCTTCCAGCAATTCGGCAGCAGGTTCGCTGCTAAATCTGGCACTCCTGGAGCTCGAGTGCGAAATGTCCCTTTAAGACTTGTCTTACTTTAGCCCTTGCCAGCCTGCATAAAACCGCATCAATCCTGAACGGTAGCACTGAAGTTTCCGGCAGCAAGAGTGATGGGGGTGGCAGCAGCAGGCGCAGCAGGCGCACCATGACATGGCTCGGTCTTGTTTTTTGCCGTTCGCTCTAGAATCTTGTTGGATTCTTTTTGGTGCTGTATTTCTTTTGGTTTTCGACGCCGCCACGGGGATTGGCTTCAACTCGCAGACGCAGACTGAAAGCCAAATGGGGAGTTTGCTTGCTTCGTTTACGCAGCAGATCTGGCCATGCAGCTGGACGAGTCGACTAGTTTTCTTGCACCCCCTTGGCATCTCGACTAAATTGCTCCGCATCCGTGCTCAAAGCATAGCACCGCCCATGTCCGAGAGCATTCGAGAACATACGCTCTCCAGACCCCCATGTCCAAAGCGTTTTGCATCCTGAGAGAATGGCTCAGCACAGTATCCATGCTCTGAGCATAGTAACGACCATTCGGAGAGCGTGTCGTCACCAGCGCGTGCGTGCCCGAAACAAAACAATGTGCATCCCAACAGCATGCGGCCGCCAGAGCATCCATGCCCACTGCACGTAACGACATCCGTCCTCCAGAACAAACTGTCTTCAAGAGCGCGCATGCCCCAAGCATAGTAGCATCCATGTCCAGGAGCTCCTGCCTAAACCATAATATTGTAACGTCCAAGAGTGGATACTCAGCATCCCCCCAAGTTGCTTTTGATGAAGCGCATGTAGCGGTCTGAGGCTGCTGCGAAATTGCTTCATGCATCCGTTGCTGCCTGGCGGTTCTCTCTGCTGAGATTCAGTTCTGCAATTGTTAGGCGAGACCTGTTGTAGACCTGTGGCCCACTGAACTCTTAAGTACGGGCCACGAAATCACGGGTGCTAAAATGCGGCGGGGCCTCCTACACCTCCTCATCCTGCTGCTGCTGCTG